CACAGGTTGCCCAGAGAGGTGGTGGATGCCCCATCCCTAGAAACATTCAGGATCAGGTTGGACGGGGCTCTGAGCAACCTGATCTAGTTGAAGATGTCCCTGCCCATGGCAGGGGAGTTGGACTAGATGACTTTTAGAGGTCCCTTCCAACCCAAACTATTCTATGATTCTATTCTATGATCTTTCAATTGTTCTCATGGCTCTTCTCTGAAACCTTGTATTGGGTTTAAGTAGCAAGGTGTTTGTAAGGGGGGTGGTGCTGCAGGGGTGGCTTCTGTGAGAAGACACCAGAAGCTGACCCCATGTCAGGCAGTGACAGTTTCAGTCAGCTCCAAGACAGACCCACCTCTGGCCAAATCACACCCAATCAGCGACGCTGGTGATAACATATTTAAGAAGGGGTAAAAAACGCTGTGCAGCAGCTGTAGAGAGGGGAGTGAGAAAATGTGAGAGAAACAACTCTGCAGACACCAAGGTCAGTGAAGAAGGAGAGGGAGGAGGTGCTCCAGGCGCCGGAGCAGAGATTCCCCTGCAGCCTGTGGTGAAGGCCATGGTAACACAGGTGGTCCCCCTGTGTCCAGTTGTCCTCCACCCGAAGGACCATGGTGGAGTAGATGTCCACACTACAGCCTGTGGAGGACCACACGCCGCAGCAGGTGGATGTGCCCTGAAGGAAGCTGCAGCCCATGGAGAGCCCACACTGGAGCAGACTCCTGGCAAGAATTGTGGCCTGTGGAGAGTAGCCCATGCAGGAGCAGGTTTTCTGGCAGAATCTGTGGCCCATGGGAGACCCATGCTGGAGCAGTCCATTCCTGAAGGACTGTACCCCATGGAAAGTACCCATGCTGGAGCAGTTCTTGAAGAACTGCAGCCTGGGGAAGGACCCAAGTTGGAGAATTTTGTGAAGGACTGTATCCCATGGGAGGGACCCCACGCTGGAGCAGGGGAAGACTGTGAGGAAGAAGGAGCTGCAGAGGCAAAGTGTTATGAACTGAGTGCAATCCCCATTCCCTATTCCCCTGCACTGCTCAGGGGGAGGAGGAGGTGGAAGATTTAGGAGTGAAGTTGAGCCTGGGAATAAAGGAGGGATGACGGAGGGAAGGTGGTTTTAGTTTTGTTTTACTTCTCACTATCCTACTCTGTTACAATTAATTGTCAATGAATGAATTAATTTCTCCAAGTCAAGTCTGTTTTGCCCATGATGGTAACCAGGACAGTAAGTAACCTCCCTGTCCTGACCTCAACCCACGAGGTTTTTCATCATATATTCTCCCGCTGCCCTGTCGAGAAGGGGGAGTGATAGAGTGGCTTGGCGGGCACCTGGTGGTCAGCCAAGGTCAACCTACCACAAACCTCCACCATTTTTCAGTGCTTTTACTGAATCACAGAAATAAGAATTAGACACAGTCTTGCTGTAGTGGTTTCAAAAAGGAGTCTTAGTGTAATGTTTCAAATCTGGGATAGCTATAAAATCTCTGAAATTAATATTCTGGTTTTATATCCAAAGATCACCTTAGCTGTTTGGAATACAGCTCTCTTTTGAAGCTCATATTCAGCTAAGCACTGAAGTTCATCATCTTTCTTGCCTCCCAGGATGGTTTCTAATTCTCCCTATGAACTTACATGGAACCATATTATAAACCATCCCAGTTTACCTGCATTAGTTTATTATTGAAACTGTTGTTACTAACCAGGTTAGAAACAATGCAACTGGCAAAATAGGTGGATGATGCTTCACTATATTACAGATACTAGTTGTTTAAGAATTGCAGCATTTCCTCACTCAAAGTAATGATGTACACTGATAAGACTCTTATGAAGAACCATCTCTATCTTTGTAAAATGTATTTCAAACATGAACCAACTGAACAGAATTCAGAAGAACCATACAGAATAACAAAAGATCTAGAAATCATGCCCTATGAGAAAAGGCAGAATAAAGTGAGGTTGTTTACCCTAAAAGAGAGAAGAAATAGAATCACAGAATCACAGAATGGTTTGTGTTGGAAGGGACCTTTAAAGATCATAGAATCATAGAATTCTTCAGGTTGGAAAAGACCTCTAAGATCATCAAGTCCAACCATTAACCCAGCACTGGCAAGTCCACCACTAAACCATGTCCCTAAGCACCACGTCTACATGTCTTTTAAACACCTCCAGGGATGGTGACTCAACCACTCCCTGGGCAGTCTGTTCCAATGTTGAACCACTCTTTCAGTAAAGAAATTTTTCCTCATGTCCAATCTAAACCTCCCCTGGCGCAACTTGAGGCCATTTCCTCTCATCCTATTGCTTGTTACTTGGGAGAAGAGACCAACATCCCCCCTCGCTACAACCTCCTTTCAGGCAGTTGTAGAGAGCGATAAGGTCTCCCCTGAGCCTCCTTTTCTCCAGGCTAAACAACCCCAGTTCCTGCAGCCACTCCTCATAAGACTTGTGCTCTAGACCCTTCACCACTCATTTACTATATTGACAGAGTAAAGGAGTCTGAAGACAGTTTCACACTGCAGCTAAACTGATATAATATCTAGCTCGCAAGAAAGAGCAAGCCCACTCTCTACTCTTCCTTCCTTTGCCTGTGCATTCCCACCTGCCCCTTTCACCAGCACTGGTGTGTATAAGTCTCCATGGTGAAATGTTTTAGGAAGCAAAATGAGTAGAAACCCATTCACTTATTTTGTGAGTGGTTAATATGCACGGTTAGCTTCCTGAACTGGCTTGACGATGGACAGGACTAGGCCTATAAGTGAACGCTGGTGGTACATAGGGGAAAAGGACTGCAACTTTCATGGCCAGCTAGCTTAGCTTCATGATAAAATTTAAATCTTAGTTAGCTTAGTTCCATCATGACACTGCATCCTGAGCAACAAGCACTTTGACTAACAGTGACTAACACAGCTAAATCAGGATTCTTGCAGCAATTACTTTGACAGGTATTCAATTCCTTGAAAAAAACAAAGATAATCTTTGACTTAGATATCCCCTTGCCTGGAAGTCAAATGTAAAAGTACTGGCATAGCTGAAGAACCTAATAAGTGAACAGTGATCTGGCCTGGTAGATGAAGGGAGAGTAGTGGCTATTGTCTACCTACGACTTCATTAAGGCTTTCAGCACTGTCTCCCGTAAGAGCCTCATAGAGAAGCTGTTGATGCACGGACTGGATGAGCAGACAGTGAGGTGGATTGAAAACTGGCTGAATGGCCAGCCAAGATGGTGGTGATCAGCGGCATGAAGTCTAGCTGGAGGCCAGTAACTTAGCAGTGTACCCCAGGGGTCAATACTGGGTCTGATCCTGTTCAACATCTTCATTAATGATCTGGATGATGGGGCAGATTGCACCCTCAGCAAGCTTGCAGATGACACAAATCTGGGAGAAGTGCTGATACACCAGAGGGTTATGCTGCCATCCAGAGGGACCTGGACAGGCTGGAGAAATGGGCTGACAAGGAACCTCATGAAGTTCAACAAGGAGACGTGCAAAGTCCTCCACTTGGGGAGGAACAACCCCATAGCACCAGTTTATGCTGGGGACCACCCAGCTGGAAAGCAGCTTTGCAGAAAAGGCCCTGGGGGTCCTGGCTGACACCAAGCTGACTGGGAGCCAGCAATGTGCCCTTGCCACAAAGGTGGCTACTAGTATCCTGGGCTGCATTAGGCAAAGTATTCCTTCGCCTCTACTCAGCACTGGTGAGGCCACACCTGGAGTACTGTGTCCAGTTCTGGGCTCCTGAGTACAGGAGAGACATGGACATATTGGAGAGATTCCAATGAAGAGCCACGAAGATGATTAAGGGACTGGAGCATCTCTCATGTAAGGAAAGGCTGAGACGGTTGGGACTCTTTAGCCAAGCAAAGAGATGGCTCAGGGGGGATCTCATCTATGAGTATAAATACCTGAAGGAACAGTGTAAAGAAGATAGAGCCAGGCTCTTTTCAGTGGTGCCCAGCGACAGGACTAGAGGCAACAGGCACAAACTGAAACATAGGAGGTTCCCTCTGAACATCAGGAAACACTTTTTCCACTGTAAGGGTGACTGAGCACTGGCACAGGCTGCCCAGAGAGGTTGCGGAGTCTCCCTCCTTGGAGATATTGAAAAGCCATCTAGACATTGTCCTGGGCAACTGGCTCTAGGTGGCCCTGCTTGAACAGGGGGTTGGACAGGATGACCTCCAGAGGTCCCTTCCAATCTCAACCATTCTGTGATCCTGTGATCCCTTCATTCCCCCATTTCCCTGCCTACAAACCACTGTTTGGCATCCCCTCGCCCACCGCAAGGAACTCCCCTGCCATGTTTTTGGGTCCATATACTGCTGCATATGCCAACAGCACCGCCGCTGTTTCCCTCTCTGCACATAGCCAGCACCACCCTGTCCCCAGGGCCCACGGAACACCTAAGCAGGGAACTCCCCACTTACCGACGAGAACCGCCTGCCCGTCCACCCGAGCACGGTGCTTGTAGAGCGTCAGGGCGAAGGTGGAGAGCTGCTGGGGGCGGCTGCGCCCGTGTTAAGGAGCTGACGGAGGAGCACGTTCCCCCACTCCGCAGCGA